CTATAAGGTATACCTTTTCATGGTGCGAGTAGAATTTTCCAGTCGGCGAGCAGAGTTTTGAAGATATGAAAATAAAGACAAACATACCATATATGGTTATGTGGACTAATTTCCCTAGAAGACAATGGTAATAAACACTCAGCCGCTTCCTCTGAAAGTGTAAACGACTGCGATTCTGGAGAAGGGTACTCTATGTAAATCGGCGTTAGATAGCTTGAGATAATATACATGTAATATGGGTTGAGATATTAATTACAGAAACAAGTGTCTGTGAGCTATAATCATGGACATTTGACCATCACATATGATATCTCTGGTCTACCACTAGTAGAGACTGTTACATGTAGTATGTTTTCAGATACTCTTTATCATGAACAAGAGTTCAGTAACACAATTGAAAAAGGCTCATGATTTAAGGGTCCTCCACACCACGTGACTTGTGACGTATGCAGAGAAAAAATACTTTTACTTCCGGTTTTATGTGATTGTCCAATCACGATTTGCCGAGGCACAGCCTGTGAGAGGGTCTTTCAAACGCTTTAGAGATGAAGGTTTTGTTAAGGGAATAGTATGCACTACACTGAGAGCGACACCCTAATCATAAATAATGAACACATGGCATGGTCACGGAGTGACCGATAGAAAAAGATGTCCGTTTTTTTTTTCTTATAAAAGAACAACAAACGTCTGGGTTTATGTTACATTATAATTCTTAAACAACGGATGTCAGTATGACGAGAACTTTTTGGTAATTCATACTTTCAGGCTAATCAACCCATTTTCATAATGATTTTCAACAGAGTCTGTGATGAAAGTTGATATTTTACGCACTAATATATGCGTTTCGATAATATATTATCTCACTGTGTGTTTATAAATATTGATAAAATAGTGTGCGTCTCTACTTTTCCTCTTTTAAATCTTTCCAGTTCAGTAGCCAATAATGAGTAGCTATAGTCACGTTTGCGGACACTTGCCAAAGTTTTTGGGTCCCAGGCAACAGGAAAGATAACTCCAAATAGGACCTTTGATACCAAAGATTTTGAAAAGATTTTTTGTACATCAGTGCATTATATTTTAATTCAATTTTTTGATGTAATCTAATTCATTGATGCCTTTTCTATACAGAAGGAGTCTTCCTTGATTTTTCTCTAGATGTATTTTAGAGAAAATGAGTTTTATTTTTAATAAATTAAATAAATTTCTCTAAAAATATGTCGATTGATAAAATTAAATTTTAATGGTTATTCTGTGAGCTTATAAATATACGATAGGTTAAGAAAAAATTTATTTGTTGTGCTAGGTGTGAAAATGCCTTGGGAAAAATATCTTGAAACTTGTGAAATTAATATTTAAAAAAAATCGGTATAAATTATATTTTAATTCCTGGGCAGATTTTAAAGGTTGATATGCATGTTAAAAGTTCAGTCACATGAGAACTTAAGTTGTATGTGTTTGGAGGACCCTTATACCAGGGGCCATGAAATTTACAATTTTGAAAAAAAAGGCACCCTTGTTCATCCTATATACATGTATACATTTAGTTTATTCTTACGTCGCGGGTTCGAATCCCACTGTGGGACAACAGGAAAGATAAGGCTCCATAATACCCCCCGGAAGGCCTTTGATACCAAAGATATTTGAAAAGATTTTTTGTACATAGCCAGCCTTGCATTTTAGACTTCCCCCTCTTATTATAGTTTCGGAAATTTTTTTATTTTAAAAAATTCTAACAGTGTTAATTTATGAAATTATCTTCCATATATATATATACATGTATTTATATATTTATTTTATATGCATGAACAGTTTGAATATCGTTTTAACTGTTTGATATCCATTATAACATATGAACATTGAGATGATATAATATATATAATATGTATACCCTTTTTTACATAAATAACGAATAATTTTATTAGTTCTCACTTATATGAAATGTTCTGATTGTTTTCAGCATTTGAATAAAAAAAAAATTGATAAAGTTTTAATGGTTTTTCTGTTTGTGTACAAACATTAGCTATTTATACAAGATATGGTTACCGATTTAATAAAAAATGTTGCGAAAAGAAGAAAAATTTAAACTTTAATTTTGTTGTCTCAATCAAGTAATGACTGTGCATACAATGCCTGTGTTTCAACGTATAAAGTGTAAAAATGAAATTGCGACAAAACTTACACACTAAAATTGAAATTATTATTTTGCAAAAAGTTTAGTCAAATAAGTGACAATTGCAATGCAGAATATATATTTTTTTAATTTTACGTATTTTTTATACATGTATTCAAACATCCAATCGTCCAAACCCAGTTTAATAAAATATCTTTAAACAAATGATTTTAAAACACGACCGAAATGAAAAAAATAATTGTATGAATTGATGTATGGGTGTGATGAGCAGGGGATGCACACATTTTCATGCAATTTTTCCGGTCATCGATTTAAAAAAAAAAGGGGGGGTTAACCCAATCCATGCATCCGGTGCTTTTGCTAAAATATGCACGACAGTCAGAATTTGATTTAAAGTGTATTAGAACTCAAATCCATCTTATTTGATTTTATAGTGATGTAATTTCATTAATATCACGCAAATTTAATTTCAAAATGAAATACAAATCCTAAAAATACTTCTATAAAATTTATAAAAGTTAAAAGGCTAAAGCATACAATAAATATTTAATTATGTCAATGTATATAAAATCCAAATTACTATGGTCATTATGCGGAGTTCGAATCCCACTATATGACTTCCGGGGGGAAGACATGAAGTCTCACTATATGACACCGGTCCTTCGGATGAGACCGTATCAACCGTGTTGCAGTAGATGCTGGCACGAAAAAGATCCCTCCCTGCTCATGACCGTAAGTGCCAAGTATATGACAAAATTTGCATCTCTCCATACACCGTCATGTGGTGGCGACTCCATATAAGTGGAAAAATTCTCGAGAGGGATATTAAACAACATACAATCAATCAATCAAATAAATTATGGATTTTCACTCCATAATCAATAGAGTTCCACCCAGCAGGTACCCCTGATCACCACCGTGTAGATCTCAACATACGGGCTGTAGACTGTTGTGCTTTCGAACACAGGTACTTGTGGACAGGACAGCCCCCCTCCCCCCTCCAAGTCAATCCGATAGCATGGACTAAGACAGAAATATATGTAAAGACGGTGTGAATCGACATTTTAGGTTGAAATAAAATAAATACATTTTTAAACTCAGAAAGACCAGTGGGGGTACAACGTAAACAAACTGGAGTGGCATACCTTTCTCTCTTATAATGTATAGTGGGGTATTTTTTGTGGAGCGATTATTTTTGGGTTTTGACGATTTCTTCATTTTGTACACATGATGAATAAGTGTAATAAATATAATTTGGGAAAAAAATGTCCAATAAACCCCGGGGTTGAATATCCGGGGGGGGGGGTGTTCCTGTCCATAAGTACCTGTGCTTTCGAAACGATAACGCTTTCCAGCGAAATATATCCATAAACTCAAAAAAATTCGATCCCCTTGTTATCGCTTCGAAAGCCTTTTCCCGCCATATCTCACACCAGAGAGGAGAAATGTAGTGGCGGATCTAGAAGGATTTGGGGGGTGGGGGTGGGTTAACATCCTCTGAGAGCGAGCGAAGAGCCCCATATATTTGTTGCGTTTTTATTTAGGTAAAACTATATACCGGTATCTCTATGGTTTAGATAACTTAAAACTTTAGTTTTAATCTTTAAATGTAAAAAAAACTACTTTATGGATATCCAATCCTCAATCAGGAAGGATAACTCCAAAAATTAATATTTAATTTTAAATGCATCAAAATGAAGCTTGAGAATGAAATTTTTTCTAGCAACAATTTTCATTTTATTCATCTTTGTAAGATTCAAGGTTTTTGGAAGTCTTAGAAAAGGTCTTATAAAAGTTGCCATTTGTACCCCATAAAAGTAAAAGAAAAAACATACAGTTTTAGAGAAATAAGATGTTCTTGAATCCAGCCTTAGATACCAATGCTTACTAGCATGATATGAAATTTGAAGTGATCTGTGTTGTCTTTCAATGATAGCAAAAGCCTTTTATACTATATATTATTGAATACATGTACATGTACATGACGGAAATAGAAGACAAAAAATACAAAATAAGTATAAAAATCATGACAATTTCTCTGAATGCCTGGATACCTATCGTTTTTTAACCTAAAATATATTTGTTGATCAATTTGCAATTAGAAAATGCATTGCTCATATTCCAATTCGCTTTTTCTGCAAAAATTTTACAGATTTGACAATTTCCCCTATATAATATGATTAACTTTGATCTTTAACTTTAAAGAAATACTGTGAATAAATTTACATAACTTTGTGGATTCAGATATACTTTCATGAGTATGTTTGAGTACGTAACTGATAGTTTTGTAAACCCGAGGATCAAAGTTTTTTATACCAGAGTGTGCACGGGTGCATTGATGGTGGTACCACTGGATAGTGAAAAGCGTCTAGTGTGATGGGGGTCGACCTGTAGATCTACTGCCTCCGCTGGCTAGCCTACTTGTAGGTAAAAGGGAGAGTCGAGTGCGTAATTCTTTCCTTGCCAGTATAAAGCCTCTGCACTATCAAGACTCCTAGTGTCTCCTCGTGGCAATGCATGGATACTGAGGGCATTCACTTCAGACTGATCTGTAGGGGACCTCGGAGTATCAAGGACCCCAGAGATGCAGTGTGTAGGCCCGTCGGCGTATGGATATGCCCTGGCACTCATTAACCTTGACCCAGCTATAGGAAAAATAGCTCTACTGCCTTGTAGATGACGTGGGAGAGCCAAAGGCTGTGGCAGTAAACCCAGAAAGAAAATCCGGGGAGAGGAACTCTTTAGCATTGGATTGCAATCATCTAAGGGAAGGACAACCCAGAAAGAAAACCCGGCCCAACAGAGTGGAGGTTTGGCGTGCGGCTTACTACCCTACCCAGTAAAAAAAAATAACTAGTTACAGAAACTTCAGCAAATGTCATAAATGAAAACTGTGTCTGCGAAGACTTGAGCCAAAACACAGGCAATATGATATCTTCTATGAGATTGATTGATAGTCTTCTAAGGCCGAAAGAAAAACTTTTTGTTGGAGCATGGAATGTTCGTACGATGTATGAAACATCAAAGACAACACAAGCTGCGGATGAAATGCAGAGATACAAGTTGGATATACTCGGAATAAGCGAATGCCGATGGATAAAATCAGGCAGGATTAGAATAACTAGTGGCCATACCACATTGTACTCGGGGCACAATGAAAAACATCAAAGTGGGGTTGCAATTATGATAAGCAAAGACAAGATCAAAACACTGCTTGAATGGGAACCAATTAGTGATAGACTAATTAGAGCAAGATTCAACTCCAAATACTGTAAACTGACAATCATACAATGCTATGCACCAACAAATGATGCCGATGAAGAAGTGAAAGATGAATTTTACAAGCAGTTACAGATGGTTGTCTCTAAAGTCCCTCAGCATGACATGCTGCTGATAATGAGAGACCTAAATGCAAAAGTGGGTATTGACAACACTGACTGTGAGAAATCTATGGGCAAACATGGATGTGGAATTAAAAATGACAATGGAGAGCGCTTCATTGACTTCTGTCTCAACAACAACCAGACAATAGGAGGCACAATATTTCCTCACAAGCATATACAGAAGCTCACGTGGAAATCTCCAGATGGTAGAACAACAAACCAGATTGATCACATAACTGTAAACAACAAATGGAGCAAATCCCTACATAATGTTAAAGTATGCCGTGGAGCAGATGTCAACAGTGACCACTATCTGTTGAAAGCTATTACAAAACTAAAACTTCGCAGAAATCCCAAAAAGCAGGAGACAAAAAGGAAGATCGATGTGGAAAAGTTAAAGATACCAGACACACGAAAATCTTTCAATCTGGAATTGAAGAACAGATTCAAGATTCTGGAAGAAAGTCTTGATGATGTTGAAGATATTCAAGAAAGGTGGGACACGATCAAGAAAGTGCATATTGAAGCGGCCGAAAAAAACTGTAGGCTACCGAACCAAGAAGAACAAAGAGTGGCTAACACCTTGTACATGGGAAAATAGGTGAAAGAAAGATTATAAAGCAGAAAATTATCAGTACCAAGTCTGCAAGATTACAAGAACAACTACAAGCTTCCTATAAAGAAAAGGACAGAGATGTCAAGCGATGTGCCAGGAGGGATAGACGAATGTGTGTTGACAGTCTGGCACAAGAAGCTGAACGAGCTGCTTCACATGGAGAAATGAGCACTGTTCACAAAATAACAAAAAAGCTATGTGGTCGCACTACAACCCAACCTGCTCTTGTGAAAGACAAAGATGGTCACCCACTGGCAACAGAACACGAACAAGCCAACCGCTGGGTACAATATTTCCAGGAAGTACTAAATTGCCCAGAACCTGATAAACCAGCGAGTCCAGACCCTCCAGCTGAAGACTTAGAAATAAACTTTGAACCACCTACCCTCGAAGAAGTCCAAAACTGTATTAAAGCATTAAAGAATGGTAAATCCCCAGGCAATGACTGCATACATGCTGAAATCAGATATTGCAACATCATCAAAGATGCTATTAGACCTATCCATACATATCTAGGAAAATGAAACAACAGCAGATACCTGGAGTAAAGGACTCATTGTAAAGCTGCCAAAAAAGGGAGATCTCCACATTTGTGACGACTGTAGAGAGTAGAGGCATATCACTGCTCTCAGTCCCCAGCAAGGTGTTCTGTAAAATACTGCTATACAGAATAGACAAAGTGATTGAAAAGAAACTGAGAGAGGAACAAGCTGGATTTAGAAGAGGAAGAGGGTGTACAGACCAAATTTTTGCCATTCGTAACATTATAGAGCAGTGTATTGAGTGGCAAATGCCACTGTATATCAATTTCATTGATTTTAAGAAAGTTTTTGACAGTGTGCACAGGGAAACACTTTGGAAAATAGTAAGATCATATGGAATACCAGCAAAGATCTGTAACATCATGAAAACATTTTACTCAAACTTCAAGTGTAGTGTCATCCTGAAAAATGGAATATCGGACTCCTTCAGTGTAAAATCTGGAGTACGGCAAGGATGCATACTATCACCAATTGTCTTCCTTATGGTCATAGATTGGATCCAAAGAAACACCACACACAGGATCCAATGGACAATGAGTCACCTAGAAGACCTGGACTTTATCTGGCAGAAGTATGGAAACCTCATCCACCTACAAGAAAAGACTGATAAATTAAACTCCTTTGCCAAACAAATTGAACTTAACGCCAATACCAAGAAGACCAAGAAGACCAAGTTAAAGACAATCAATGCACCAGTAGAACCTGTCACATTAAATGGAGAGGCACTTGAGGAAGTTGAGGACTTCTTACCTTGGCAGTATCCTAAGTAAAGACAACGGCGCTGGTAAAGACATAAAATCACGTCTTAGTAAATCACGGACAACATTTGCACAACTTCAGCCCATCTGGAACCAAACTCCAACTTTACAACAGCAATGTCAAATCAGTTCTCCTGTATGGGCCTGAATGCTGGCGTGTTGTTGACAGAGACATGAGAAAAGTAGAGGCATTTTACAACAACTTTCTTCGAAAAATCCACCGTATCTTCTGGCCGAACAAGATCTCTAACAGAGACCTGAAAGCAAAAGCAGGAGTATAACAATAGAAATCAAGCAAAGAAGAATGAGATGGCTGGGACACGTGATGAGAATGCCCCAGAGCAGGATACCGAAAGCAGCCTTACACTGGACACCATCTGGAAAGAGGAAGCGAGGTAGACCACGAACAACATGGAGAAGAACTATAACATCAGAGTTAGAGGAAATGGGCTACTCGTGGGGGCAGGCACAGTATGTGGCAAAGGATAGAAGATGGAGGCAGCTTGTTGAAGCCATCGGGGACGAAGAGGATATGTAAGTAAGTAAGTAAGTAAACTGTGCACGGAGACGCAGAGGACTATGAGTAGTTTGCTTATACATGTACTAATATAAATGTATTATGTATGGAAGAAAATCCTGTAATGTCGCATGCAAATGTTCAATGTCACAGGGATATATTAATTAACAGATAAATATAAGATATTTTGATTACAACATCAAGCATTCCAGTTTCTACTTACTTCATTGAAAGGACCAATTGGTTTGCGGCCGATTTTTGACGCTTGCGTCAATATATGTTTCTTGTATTATCTACATTGACACGGAAATAGTCTGTTAGGATAAACAGAAATTTCCAGTCGAAAAGCTTGCGGTTAGGAGGCGTGTACACTTTACCTTGAGCGCAGCTGTCAACTAGATCGTGACGTAACATAAAACTTCACACTTAACTGCAAACTATAATATATAGTACTATACACTCCATATGCTGGGATATGGTGTTATACAAGTAGTACATGTGTATAGTACTGAAAAAGCACACTGGGCCACAGTCAAGAAAGACAACTTGTGAAAGTACTAGTATTTAGCCCAGTAAGTTTTTACTGTATTTAACTGTTAAGTAACATTTTAAAGGAATTGGTTAGAACTAAATTTACAAGCTATATTTTTTCCATTCATTTTATTTCTTCCTGTACATATATACAATATAACTTTTTTAAAAAACTTGATTATTTTAAATCAAGTTTTGGCACATACGCACAGTTATGGATGTAGGCCTATTGTTATTTCATCGACTGTTGAAGCGAGTTATTCCACTTTGTATATCTTTTTTCCCTATGCAGCATCAACATGCGAAAGAAGTTACGACTTGCGAGGCAGTTGCTTTTTTTACATTCATGTTTCTAACTTTCTTTCATTATTTGGAAGTATAAAAATAAAATAACGACTTTATATATAATATGTATACTCCCTGTATTACACTTAGTAAGAATGGGGAGAGGATATGATGCGTTACATGTCATAAGATTTTCTTACTTGCTTGTTCTAATATCGTTTGATTTGATGGCAGGGAAATCTCATTCATCTTCAGTCATTTTATACAGCACTGCATTGAAAAAAAGAGTGATTCATCTCTCTGTATTCGTGAAATGTGGAAAATGCCACTCTTCACTCATTTCATTGCAAGTTATTTCTAATCTAAGAATGTAATCTGCATCCGTTACCAAGAAACAATGCAAGACACTTGATAATAAACTTCCATTTCGCTTCACATCAGTCCCTCCTGCCTTCTCCTAAGGTGACAGAAGGTCACATCAAATGATGTATTTATTTAGGTCAAGGAGGGGTGCATTTTATTATCTTACAATTTCATTCAGCTTTTGTAGTAAACAAGACCTGGTATCCCCTCTAAAATTGAAGAATGGATAAGCCCCACTCATGAGTTAGTACACAGGGGCTCCTACGCTATCAATCATTTCAAGATGTGCAAAACCATGTTGTCCAGCGTGCTTTCTATCTAGGTCAACAATTTTTATGTTCTCCAAGTATGTCAACACTATTCCCTCTTGATCAGTAGCGATCCTTGATTTGAGAGAGAGAGAGAGAGAGAGAGCAATTTCTACTTTTACCATAGAAAGACTTCATATGCTTGCAGTGGATAGTTCTTGGCACCAGATGCAGGATTTTACCATTTTAATGGAAATAGAATTGATACTGACAAAATTTAGAAATCGAAGGATAAGCTGCACAGTCCGCTGCTTTTTAATAAGGTTACAGCATCACAGAACTTTTAGTCAGGTACATATATTTAGAGGGTGGCACTGGGCACCCAGCAACTTTACAAGCTAACAGGAAATTGTCAATAACCTTTAACCTATTTGCCAATCCACTCTTAAATACAGCTTTTCATGTTTAATCCCCGATAAAAGGAATTTATACCCAGATGGGTCGGGCGATAGTAGAAAGATAATGAAAAAAGCAAACTACGTCAAAGCAAGTGGTGAAAGAGTTCCAAAACTAGAAAAAAATCTAGTTCTCATCAAAAAGTATTTTCAGAGTTCTGAGAAACATTGATATCCCCGAGAGTATGGAAGCAGCGTGAGCTCATGGCCAAGGTGAAGGTTTTTCAAAGTAGGTCAAACTCCAAGGTCAAGGATATCAGATGAAAAAAATTTAGTATCCTAAGAGGACTTATCAAAAGAAATACATCTGTATGTGAATAAAATGCCCCATCACCAACCGTTCTAAAGTTTAGGCTGAGGTAACTTTTTTTTTTTGGCGGACAAACAGATCCCAAACGAAAATATTATACGCCCCCATCTCCTAATTCTCCGACTGCGGGGGCATAAAAAACCAAATGCAAAAATCTAAACGAGCATCTTTATCAGTACATGCGTAAATGTAACATTTTTTACATTCACGTCTCTAAATGACATCTAATATTTTCTGCATATTGTAGAACTTTTTTTTTTTTTGCTAAGTTTAAAAGAAAAGCTTTCATATATATCTGTGTGAAAGTTGAAAAAATAACTTTATTATATGAACCAGTGGCTTAATTTTTATATTGTGAATTAAAAGTACGGGACGAAGTTCTTGCTCCTTTCCCCCTTAAAAATACATGTAAATGATTATCAAATATTGCTTTAAGAAAGTATCTGTTGCCTAATAAATAGAAATTTCTAATAAAAAAAATTAAGTAGTAAAAAAGGTTGGCTAGGAGCAGACTTTTTTACCGTCTTTAATGGAACTCATTTGAAAATTTTTTTTCAGATAAGATTTATATGGATATATCACCACAAAAAATTCATGTCACACAACAGAATAAGATATCTCTAGCCAGCATTTTTACAAAAATTATGAATGAAATGACACTTATTTTACATTAATGATTTTCCAGGTGTAAATAATTCTATGCTCCTCTCTGACCATTCAAGATAATTAGTGAACTAGAATGATTCATTCATAAATCATTTACAATGGGAGTCTAACCAGTTTAATGAGACCTGTAATAATAACAAGGTTATGTCAGCAAACCACTTTCAAGGAAAAATAATTTGCATATTATTTCAGTAAACTCTTTAAATTTAGACAGAATAAGAAAAATATTTGGAGAAAACATTTCACTCAAACAGAAAAAGGATTAAACAGACAGATTATGTGTTTCCGTTTCTAAATATTTCTTCATTTA